GAAAGAGATGCTCTGTAATTTGCAATGTTTTTATGGGTGACTGAAATTATGCATTAATAGTGATGTAAATATTTAACTTAGCTTCTAGTTTAATGCTAAGGGTAAAATCTGTTCCATTTATGTGCCTAAATGGCACATGTAACTGCAGTTTTTGGCACTTATGTGCAGACTTAGTAGGGAAATAGAATTTTACAGGTACAAGCCAGGCAACTCTGGAAGCTTTAGTCAGGAAAAAACCACAACAAGGCAGGTATTGTACACTTGAGGAGGAAGGCAACAGTCTCACTTTTAAGCCTAATAGTCTAGTGGTTAGGGTACTTGTCCCAGGACCAGGAGATCCAGCTTCTAGGCCCCCTTCATTTAGAGGAGGAACCTGCATTTCCCAGGATAGTGCTTTAGCCCCCTGTTTGAAGCTGGCTCACTACACCTTGCCTTTACTATTCATTACGTTGATGCACAAGATGTGGGTGGCTGATGGAGTGTGGTAATTGCCATGCTCCAGCAGACTTGATTGAGTCTGCTTTGATGCACTGTAATTACAGTGCTTCGGAGCAGCCTCCCTGCAAATGTATAGGCACTTAAGCATGCAAAGTGAAATAGGATTTAAACCCAGAAACCTCCTTAAACTCAACAAATCACTTAGAAAGCAAAAAAGCATGCATTCCTACAGCATGGTTACCTGTTTCAGCCTACTTGCTGAGTTATATCACTGACCAAAATGCATATTTAAAGTGGATGAATTTACGTTGAGAACAGGCTCTTGCTTCCATTATTTCATTCAAGACAGTTGTGGATGTCTCGGACGGCCAGAGCCGACTCGAGTTGCGCTAGAAATTGGTCGTACGTTAGGGCAGGCTGGTGAATGGAGAGGCAGACACAACTTATCGGTTGCAAAAAACTTTACTCACGCCACTTGCAATCACGACACAGGTGGTCCAGTCGTCTGAACAACCACACAGGTTGTTCCAGCTGGTGGGGCCCAAGCCAGTTAATCCGTCCGCAATTCGAAGCTGGCGGGGAAAGGGGTACGTCTGGGGTTGCGCTCGGCGACAGGAAGAAAGATCGATAGGTGATCGGTCTATCGATTGGCAGCCGCAAGTCAGATAACTTCAGAGGCACTCTGCAGCATGCTCAAAGCTCTTCGACTTGGGCAGAAGTCGCGTGGAACTTTAAACGGCCAGCGAGCCAATTACTAGCCGCCACGTGTGAATAATTTAGCACTGGCCAATAGCGGGGCACAAATTTACATTTGAATAGCGGGAACTCTTTGCACCGTGCATTTCTGTGCTGCAAAGAAGAAATGCCTCCCGCAAAGGAAACTGCAAATTGGCGGGAACTCTCTCCTACACGCGGGGTCTCAATTGCAGCAGAACACTGCCGTGCAAAGGAGCTCTCATGTAGCCAGGAAATTCCTTAGTGCCGAGGCACCAAAATCACTGGGTCGTGACAGTGGAAAGCAGTGTTATTGGCATCAACTCCACACATAAGACTTAAATCTACAGAGTGTTATGCATGTTAGTTGTTGACACTTGATTTAGAAGAGTACATAATAGGCTAGATTAACAGAGTTTTCAGACAGACATGCTCTTTTTTAAAGGTTCAGTTGGATGGCTGATCTATAGCAATTTTAGGCTTATTTGTCAGTATTGTTTCTGAGCATTCAAAAGGACTAATCTTAAGCAAACAATTCTTTCAGCAGCTCTGAGGTAAAAGAGCTAATTGTGAATACACTTCCTATGACAGAAATGTTGCATTTGGGAAAAATCAAGATAGATATTAATTCACTGTTATATGTATATCAAACCTGGATATTAAAAATAACATGTCAGAATGTTTCAGTGTAAAACTATACAGAAATTAAAGTATATTCATTTTTATAAGCCTGTTTTATTCAGCAATATAATGTATAAAACTGATTAAATGAGAGTTTTGCTAGAGTGCAATACCATCTTCTTAAAGCATCATTCTACGTATGTGAAAGATTTATAGTAGTACATTTAGAAAAGAGGATAATCACAGTGCAGAGATTTCATTTAAAGAAGGAATGAGATCAAAGAGCTGAGCACCTCTTGTCTTGATTCTTTGTTTCTTTTGCTAGTCAGCCTTGCTTGATGAGCCTTATTGGTATTTGGCTAATACTAGTGAAAGCAGGCCGCTATGTTTTTCCGAACAGAAGAGGTATTAAATTTAGTATCTCAATCATTTTTCTGGTTATTGGTTTGTTTTAATAGGGAAATTTTTTTCCATATTAATGAATTAAGAAAATTATCAAATTTAATTTTACTCTCAAACTAGACAATTATTTAAATTAAAATGTATAGATTACATATCTTTCAGAATGAAATAGATTGAAATTACATTCATCTTAAAAACTGTTGTATATGTCAGGTCTTCTGAAGTCAACAGATATGTCAGTTTCAACTAGATCACTGCTGGCCCCTGGCATACCTTGTACTTGATATGATTAACCAGTTAATCACATCTTAAGTAGTTACCCAGCCACACATTAATGCAGTTAATGATTGGCAGTTGTGGAAGGGACTAGAGGGGAGGTATGGAAGTCCCAAGTAGCCCAGAGAAAGGGGGGGGGCAGAAGGATAGAGGGCCTAGGGCCAAGAGAGACAGAGCTTGAGCCCAGGAGGGACTAGGTACTTGGGAGAAGGCCTGGTGCTAGCGTGGGGTTGAGGGCAAGGGAGGGGGACGGGATTGGGAGGATCCAGTGCTTGGGAGGGATTAGGGTGCATAGAGGGACCCTCTGGTGCCTGGAGGCCTGTCAGAGGGCTGAATGTGGGGGCCAGAGGGCCTGAGCCCAGAGACAGCACTGTGTCAGCAGGGTCAGAGAGCTCAGAGGTTGGTAGCCCAGGAAGGACAGGTGTCAACAGGGTCTGGGACCCTGAAGATCTTGCTGGGCCCAGGTCCAGAGATAGGCCAAAGGCTGAGCAGGGCCACAGCTAGAGACTGGTAGGGTCAGAGGAGTGTAGGAGTTGCATTTGGCCTAGAAGCAGGACCAGGGCCTTGGAATGGATAAGCTAAAGGCTGGGGATCACAGCTGGAGACTGAGGGAGCTAAGGAGCCTGTAGCTCAGGAGGGTAACAACTGGGGCTGGCAGCCTATAGGCCAGGAGGGGAGTGTGTTTAGGAGGTTATCTGCAAAGCATGGGGTGGGTATTGGGGATGAAGGAGCCTGTGAAATTAGCTATTAAGGTAATGACCATAGGCACCTGTGGTTGAAATGGCAAGACTATGCTTTGGAAGCCATGGGGCAGCCTCTTTCATCAGAAGCCAATAACATCAAGGTGTGGTGAGCATGTAAAGGGAGAGGCCCCCAAAGGGAGCCAGGTTGGCAAAGGTTGAGTATCTACCAGGGGGCATGATGACCACCATGGGACGTACTACACGTGTGCAAGAATTTCAGGAGGGATGGAGCCTAGATAGTGATAGCCTTGCACTCCATTAAGGCAGTGGGTGAAATGGGAATAGCTAATGGAACTTGGAGGCATGGGTGAAAGTTAATTGGGATTGATATCAAAGTTATAGAAAAGTTAAGGAAGGAAATGGAAGAGATGCACAACCTCAGCCCTCTTACAGGGAGGGAGTGTGCCCATAATCCTGCACCAAAATAAAAAAAAGATTTCTTTTACAGTGGAAAAATATGCAAAGAATGTACATTGTAAACAGCCCAAGAAACATAAATAACTTCAACATTCCCTTGGTAGGGCCATATTTGATTTAAGATGTCTGGGTACATTTTAGGATAAAAAAGAGAAATCTTAAACTTCTGACTGGAAAAGAGAAAAAGAATCGTTGCAAAAGGAAGTTAGTTATGTAATCCCATGGTAGAACAAATGTTCTGAAGAAGTGAGTGGACAAGAGCTTCAGAGACTTGGGGAAAGGTAAGACTAATGACAATAAATAGTGCCAGGATGGGAGCCTAGCAGGGAGCATCTACATGAGAAGTTTACTGCAGAGTTGACCAATTAGTTCCTCAGTAAAATGTCACAATTGACATCAGGGAAGAGGGTGCTTCAGTGCAGGGGCTGCCTGCTGGCTAACCCTGCACTGAAGCACGCTTGTACCCCAGCCAGCCCCTCCGCAGCATGTTGAAGTGGGTCGGACCAGCCCTGGGTTGGCAGGCTGAGGCTACTCTGCCTTGGCTCAACATACGCAAACACAGGGCCCAGGACCAATAAAATCTTGTGTAAATTTTGTTCTAGTTTATTTGGCCGCATTAATTGCATGTGTAGATGCCCCCACAGAAAGTATGAGAGAGAGACAGGCTGGGGAGGAGTTGTTTTTGTAAAGTATATAATGTCAGCAAAGTGAAACAGGAAGACAAAGATGTCAGTTGATTATGGAGAGAGAGGATCAGAACTTTGCCTTGTAAAAATTACTTTAACGCCATTTATCAATAGAACAATACAGATTTACCCCAACTGAGAATATGGCTTTTGGTAATCTAGAGCAATCTTGCGTTTAACTTTTGAGGGCTATGCTGCTTCTTTACAAGGTTAGAATTGGGGGGGAAGCAGGGATGGAGATAGTTAACCATATTAGAAAAGTAACAAGGGGCTCCTATACACTTGCAGGGAGCCTGCTCTTAATGTGCTGTAATTCCAGCACATCAGCAGACTTGATTAATCAAGTCTACTGGAGTGTGATAATTAATGCATTCCAGTAGCCTCCAGCGTCATGTGT